ATATATATATATGAGTGCTTATATACAACACAAGCTCAATCTTTTTAAAGCACAGAGACTTATAAGTGACAGAAGGTGAATCTGAACTGTCAAACATATGCATCTCATAGGAATTCGGAAATATTGGCCTTAGGTAAAACATGTCTGCATTGGAAAAGAAACACACAGAGATAAAGAGACAGAGAAAGACAGAAGGGGAAGGAGGGGTATGGAGATAGGTAGGGAGTGTGAGAGGAGAAGAGGGCATGGTTTGGTCCAGCTGCAGCTGGCACTGTCTGTAACCTTTGTGATGAAGGCTGGCAAAAGGCTCGGCAGGCAGAGATGCCCAGGGGCCAATATGTTGGCGCTTTCCCCAGACTGTCAACCGGCCTTGTTCACTCACAGCCTCCACCATCTCTGGAATCTCACTTCATCTTCTTTCGGAATGTATAATTAATATCTCCAACTGGCTGTGGAGTTTTAATTGACTATTTACACCAGTTTTAGGGACACACCGAAAGCACCACATTTCCTTGTCCTACATAATTTCCAGTAATTATTGGAATTAAGATGTTTTACACAGTAAGAACCCTCAGATGAGATATCTGCAGTTGGTTAAAAGAAAACGGTGTGTGTGTGTGTGTGTGTGTGTGTGCGCGTGTGTGTGTGTGTGCAGTACTACTGTATTGTAAACCACTCAAAATGTGGAATGTGATGTCAGATTCACAGTTGGGGTGACACTGTGGCTCGCCTCATAGCAGGAAGGTCGGTGGTTCGAGTCCCAGCTGGGCCAGTAGGCATTTCTGTTTGGAGTTTGCATGTTCTCCCTGTGATGACGTGGGTTTCCTCAGGGTGCTCTGGTTTCCCAACACATGCGATATAGGTGAATTGAATAAACTAAATTGCCTGTAGTGTATGAGTGTGTATGGATGTTTCCCAGTTCTGGGTTGCAGTTGGAAGGGCATGCGCTGTGTAAAACATATGCTGGATCATTTCGCTGTGGCGACCCGTGATTAATAAAGGGACTAAGCTGAAGGAAAATGAATGAATGAATTACAGTTACTTACTGTACAATGCACTTGCCCTAAATACTAAAATAAATTCAACAGTTTTGGTTGAATACATACAGAAAAGCGGAGTAATAAATATATACACATATATTTAGCAGAATAATTATACTTTTCAGCTAAAGAAGGTTACATTTATTAAAAAGACTGAACATGCCTAAGAAACAATGAATTGACTGAAAAATTAATCACAGTATACAGTATGTATGATATATAATGTAAATTCTTAGATATAAGATTGGATATACAGTACATCATATATATATATCATATTTAATATTCTTTAAGTTTACATTTTTATTAAAGCTAATAGGTCATGTTGCTTCAAAAATTTAAAGAATAAAAAGAATTTAATTTGTATTATCTACGCATGTACATTTATTCATTCATTTTCCTTCGCCACAGCAGAATGAACTGGGAAACACCTATACATGCTTCATACACTCTCACATGCACACTCATACACTACGGCCAATTTAGTTTTTTTTAATTCACCTGTGACACATGTATTTGAACTGTGGGGGAAACCGGAGCATCCGGAGGAAACCCACGCAAACGCAGGGAGAACATGCAAATCACACAGAAATGTCAACTGAGCCATCAAGGACTCGAACCAGCGACCTTCTTACTGTGAGGCAATAGTGTTAACCACTGAGCTACAGTGCCACCACATTTAGATTTACAGAGATTTTAAATTCAATTACTTATTTAGAAATTGAGTTCACTGTTTAACCTAAAAATAAAAATAAATAGTATCAAGTAAAGTAATTAAATGACTTATTGAGTATTTGAGTTACTTTTTTTTACACAGTAATTAAAATGTAATTTAAATACGATTTTACAAATGTAATTACTTATTAATTCATTTAAGTAACCTACCTAACACTGCCTGGTATCCATAAACAGACACAACAACTATGATGCCACATAAACTGGTTTTACTAATGGAAAATTTAGTCTTAATTAAAAATCTTTTAATTAAAATTTTTTTTTTCTTAAAATGTGGACCTTTTTGCAGTTCTTCGCCTCATTTTCTATTTAATTATGAGATTTAAATGCTGCATTTAGTAACATTTTAAGCACTATTCTTTAGCTAGGTAACATTTTAAGCACTATTCTTTAGCTAGGTAACATTTTAAGCACTATTCTTTAGCTAGGTAACATTTTAAGCACTATTCTTTAGCTAGATTAGCTTGTAAGCTTGTAGACTAGCTCTGTAAGATTAGCTTGTCATCATAACCACACTATTTGGTGTACCAAAAATATTTCCTAAAGATTTAGAATAAAGAAATCTAAAAAACTTTTTAAATACAAATGTATTAAATCATATATCATTAGAAAAGGGGACTAAGCCGAAAAGAAAATGAATGAATGAATGAATATCATTAGAAAAAATAGGAATCTGTTCAAGTTTTAAATTAAAAACCGTAGTCTATTGTCATTTGTTAGGCAAATAACAAACCAACCAGCACAATCAACTGTCCTCAGTCAGAATTGAGCCATTTAAATAATAATAAAACATTATAATAAAACTATTCATAGATAACAACAATAGCCTAATTTGTATTCAAATTAATTTTAATATGGGCCACTTTTGGTGCTTCACACCTTTTTATTGGTCATTTTTTTTGTTTTAAGAAGGAGGTCCAAGATTTGGAATAAAAATTACTTGTAAAATGTTTTTTCTATTTAACAACGATACAGCTGGTCAGTAGCGAAAGATGACTTCACACATGTCAGATTGTGTGTTTTCTTGCACATCTGGATGTTGGACTCATGAAAAAGAATTGTTTGCATTGGCCAAAACCGATTAACGGAAGTCACAGCAGCGAACAGAGGATTCCGCTTGGTCTTAAAGCCTTTCTCAATTTCACGATTTTCACAATTTACGATGGTGTAGCAGTCAAAGTAGGACAAATGAGCTCCTGTATGGGACAACTTTTGGACTTTGTCAGAGAGGGGTGGGTCTTTTGATTTGTATTATCTATGCGTTTAGCCTGCAGGCACAGGACATCAACATGATTTCATATTGATTTGTACCCCAACATACCCCAACGTCGCAGGTTTTGTTTGGAAGTGATAGTTGGGTTAATATCAGAACCCGATGTCAGGCCAACGTCAATGTCCAACGTCCAACCTAAAAACAAAATATCAATGTCTAATCATATTTCACCTTGACGTTGTGTGGACGTTATCACTATGACGTCTATCAGACGTTGGATTTTGGTCACTTTTCAACACGAGATTAACCAAACATCAACGCAATTAGACATTGTTATTGGACGTCAAAAAACCACTGTACTTAGACACTGGCCAGGCATTGAAGTTTGGTCATCTGACATCACCACCTAAATCTAACCAAATATTAATGTCTTATGATGTTATGTGCATGCTGGGTAGATTTATAAGGATTTTAAATAGTATGGAGTAATGTAATTAAATGACTTATTGAGTATTTGAGTTATTTTTCATACACAGTAATTAAAAGTAATTTAAATACAATTTTAATGGTGTAATTACTTATTAATTACTTTTTTAAAGTAATTTATCCAATGCTGCCTGGTACCCGTAAACCGACACAACAACTATGATGCCACATAAACTGAGAGGGGTCTGGATGCAGACCTAGTGCAGTGCAATCTCAGCTGCATCTAATGGTTTTTAATGCGCTCCCCAAACCCCACCCCAAACCCTACCCGTCACAGTGACGTCACTCACTCCATTGAGTGCACTGTGTCTGAGATTGCATCGCTAAGTGATGCAATCTCAGTTTGCATCATAAAGGCTGCATCCAGATACTGTTGCATAAACTGGTTTTACTAATGGAGAATAGCCTTTCTTTTAATTCAGTACTGTTTTATAGTATACAGTACCATATTTGCAATGAAACTGGATGATCAGTGGTACTTTACCAGAGTTCTCCTTGGAGTCAGACTCAGAATCGGATGTTTCCGAGGATTCTGATGCTTTCTCTGGCAGGTTAGGCAGCTGTGCAATATCCATGGGTGTATCTTTGTACTCGGGATTACTGGCCATTAAAAAAGAGAGAGCACAAAAAAAGACACATTTAGAAGATACAAGTCATTCACTTTGCCAGCTGAGAATCATTCACAGCCGTGTGAAACATCCTTCGCTCTCTTCTCTAGAACGTTCCAGACATCCTGATTGATTCACTGCGGCTCAAACCACAGAGCATTCTAATGATCTCTAAGCCCGTACACACAGACCCAAAATCACACTGCAGTTTGAGAAGATTGCCGTGTTTGGCCTTCGTCATCTTGCAGAACAGACTATTGCTAAGTCTCACAAGTGGGAAATACCTTCATCTTGGTTACAGTGTGGGACTGAACGAAGTCTTGAGATACAGCATTTCCATCAAGTATACCTGAGCACATAGTTGACCCAGATGATGTTTTTTTCGTTGGCGTTCTTGGCGTTGATTGCAATAGTGGCGCTGGACTGGATCCAGATATAACCTCCGTTCTTCTGAATCCAGCGGTAATACTTTGTCACACACTGACCTTTATTCAGCACTATAGAAAGAGGAGAGACGGGAAGAAAAAGAGGAAAAACAGAAGAGGAAATTAAGACTTTGATAAATGTAACATTTTACAATTACATTTGTACTTAACGGGTCCATATTGGTGGTGTTATTCCCAACATCTGGAAATTCATGAATCCCAGTCACTGAAGAATTTTCCAGATGCCATTTTCCATCTCAGTCAAACTACCTCAATGTTTGTTTTTTACTGACTTTATGTAAATAAATACATTTGTAAATGTATTGTTAGGTTAATTACTTTAGAATGGAGTGTCAATTTTGATCTTTGTCACTTCATTTGAGGTTGTTTGTGTATCTAACTGCATTGCTATTAACGTCTTTTCAACATACATAGTGCATATAAACAACATTCACATGTTCAACAGTATTTCTGTCACGGTAACTGCCATTTTGTACATCTGTAAAATAAAATCAACACCTCTTCTTTAAGTCATAGAGCCTAAACTAGCAAGGAGAATCCCCGAAGCCACTGCCTCCGCCCGGATAACGATATCGTAGGACGTTACTTGCTCTGGAGAATTTCTGAAAAAAATCAAAAATGAGTAAATACTTAATATTATATTATATTATATTATATTATATTATATTATATTATATTATATTATATTATATTATATCATATTATATTATATTATATTATATCATATCATATCATATCATATTATATTATATTATATTATATTATATTAAATTATAATTATATTATATTTATTATTGTTATTATTATATTATTATTATTATATTGTAATTATTATTTTTTATTATATTATATTAATATTTTAAATATTATATTATATTATATTATATTATATTATATTATATTATATTATATTATATTATATTATATTATATTATATTATATTATATTATATTATATTATATTATTATGGATCTTATAAGGTACAAATGTGAAATGTGTACCTTTTGAAAAGGTACCACCCCATTGACACCTCACCTTTATTTCTGAGAGTGTACCTTTACACAGGAATGTTTTTAAAAAAGGACCTGTTTTTTTTTTTTGACACACCATTTTTTTGTTTTCAGTTTTTACACTTAAACAGTCTTTTACAATCATACAAATCAATTAACAAGCACACCATTGTTGCATTTACTAAAATAAAAAATTCAATTAAGTATATAACAGGTTTAGTGATAATGATGTCTGCAAAATTGTTGCAAACCATTTATATGGGTTTCATTTAAACTAACAAATAAAATTTATTGATATTCAACTTAATTTGTTTGTTTAAATTCAAAACAAATAAATTGTTTACAAACATTTAACAACAACAACAACAAAAGTAAATCATCTTTGAATCGTTTTCTTTTCAGGGTAATGTATTTAAAAGTGACAACAAATAAGTATTGATGAGTTAATCAGCACAAAACTGCCAGATAGGAACTACATTGTTCATTTTTTTGTATTTTCAAATACATGCGGTTTGGCTTTTAGTATATACAGTGCTCAGCATTACAAGTACACCCTTCACAAATCTCTCTTTTAAATTCATATTTTTAATAGGAAGCTATACAATATTATATTTGTGCATATACATTAGATTAGTCAGTACTGATACCAAATCTGGAGCTTAAACAAAATAAGTTATGATCACGGTCCAAAAACTAGTACAGCCAAATTTATATGATATAGAAAAATAATAGAAACAAATTTCAAATCAAGAGAAGCAAAAAAAGAAGTTTCTAGATATATTTGGTGACTAAAATTTTATTGAAAAAAATATATCTGTTTAATAAATCTGTGTTGTTTAAATCCACCAAAATACATTGCCTATGAGAAATGGATAACAATTTTTATTTTCAATATGGGCTGTACTCAATTATGCTGAGCACTGTAAGTTATCTTTTCTAATGGAAGGTTTGACAACATCCGTCTTATCCATTGAGTAGCATTTGTTCTTTGCATCCTTGTCCAAAACAAAGCTACACTTTTTTCCATAGAGCAAGCTGAGGACTATAATTACTTGTACACTTTGATTCTCTGGGTATAAGCCTGGCAATAAAAGCGGGTGACCCTTACAATAACACATATACTCATATATAACATCTAATATTGGTTGACCAGGTAAAGCTAAAAGCTATGCTTTTATTTATTTTAAAAGAGATACTCTTACACACTAAACATCATTCATATCAAAGGACCAGCAGAGGGCGCTGTGACTATTTGATAAGTGCTTTGTAATCGTGTCCTTGTCTGGACCTACTCATGTGAAGACACTGTGGCAGTTGCCATAATTTTGGCTAAATTAAGCGCTAAATGGCGATCTCAAATAATATGAATTTGCATTAATCATTTTTCCTGCAAAACAGAAACAGTCGCAATCCGAGCACGGCAGTAAATTCCGATCCTGGGTTTAATTACAGCTACAAATAGCCATTTCCATAAAAAGAGTCCATTGAGAAGAATGATTTATATAAGAATAAGTCTAGTAATTAAAATCATTACAGACTAATAGCATTGTTTAAGAAGCCGTCCCAAAGGCTCTGATAATTGACTTTAGTTCACAGACTGCTTTCTGTACCAATAAATGTAAAACTAAGCTGTAACTTCAGAACATTGAGACAAAAAGCTGAAAGTTGTTTATCTGACTTGTTCGCTGTGGCCAGTGGGCATGCCCTTGAGTAACCTTTGAGTTTGTTTACCTTGTATTGAGAGTCTATAGAGGGGTTTATCAAATTTATCTAAGTGAACGTGTTGGAAAGCTGTATATAGAAAATAAAATATCACATTTAAACCAACAGACCTCATGATACTACCTAAAAATATTATTTTAAAGGGATAGTTCACCCAAAAGTGACAATTCTGTCACTATTTTCTTACCCTTTGTTCCAAATCTGACAAAACACATAAGATATGAAGTGCATCTGGAATTTCTTATGCAATGAGTATTTTTCTCAGCCTCTAATGTTTATGTTTAGTTATTGCATGTTAATAGTGATGAAAATATCCTATTCTTTGCCATAAAAGAGGAATTACTGAATTAAAACATCCAAAAACAAACATTTACACACTATTAATGCCTTCTCAAGTGGTTCCAAACACAAAATAAGATATTTTGAAAAATGTTGGAAACGGGTAAACATTGACTTCCTTGGTTTTTCCTATTATGGATGTCATTGGTTATCAGTTTCCAACATTTTTCCAAATATCTTATTTTGGGTATGGAATCAGTTGAGGGGGCATAAATAGTGTGTAAATGTGTGTTAGTGTGTTTATTTTTTTGGACGAACTGTCCCTTTAATTGAAGAGATGAACATAGTTGATTTCTTGACATGCTTGTTTTGATGATGTTCTTAGTTGTCTACAGTGTTTTAATTGTATAATTTTGGTATATTGTTGTATAGCACTTTGGGCAGCTCTTTGGTTGTAATAAGGTGCTATATGAATAAAGACAGATCGATTGATTTTATTTTGAATTATTTCTCATTAGATAGATAGATAGATAGATAAACAGACAGACAGACAGACAGACAGACAGACAGACAGACAGACAGACAGACAGACCGACCGACCGACCGACCGACAGACCGACCGACCAACCGACAGACAGATAGATAGATATATAGATAGATAGATAGATAGATAGATAGTTTCCATTGACTTTTCCAAATACCTTCTTTTGTGCTTGGAATCAATTGATGTGGCATTAATACTGAGTAAATGTTTATTTTTTTGGACGAACTGTCCCTTTAATTGAAGAAATGAACATAATTGTTTTCTTGGCATGCTTGTTTTGATTAAGTTCTTACTTTTCTATGTGCTTTAATTGTGTAATTTTGTTTTATTGTTGTAAAGCACTTTGGGCAGGCCTTAAGGTGCTATATTAATAGAGGCTGATTAATTCATTTTAATTTGAAATATTTATTTATTCTCATAGTGATAAATTGAAGATTAAATAGACAGACAGACAGACAGACAGACAGACAGACAGACAGACAGACAGATAGATAGATAGATAGATAGATAGATAGATAGATAGATAGATAGAGAGATGTTGTCAATATTATCTAAAAATACTACCTTAGAGGGATAGTTCACCTCAAAATAAAAATACTGTCACCATTTACATACTACTTGTTCCTAAATAATAACTTTTATTGTTATTAACAATTGATATTGGTATTAATAATTATATAATATATAACACTATATAATATTAATAATAATATTAGTAACTGATATTTGTATTGATAACTGATTAATATTGATAACTGATATTGATATTAATAACTGATATTGATAACTGATAATAATATTAGTAACTGATATTGGTATTGATAACTGATTAATATTGATAACTGATATTGATATTAATAACTGATATTGATATTAATAACTGATATTGATAACTAATATTAATGTTGATTACCTGAGTTTTTTATTCTGTTCAACACAAAAGAAGATATTATGAAAATTGTTGTCCTTTGTTTTTCCTACAATGGTTTTCAATGTTTTATCAATTTCTGTAATCTAGCAGCTGCCGGAAACAAACTGTAAAATTACGGATTTTTACAGTGTAACCCAGACAACATGTCACTATAAACTATTACCAATGTTAATAAAAGTCTTTTTCGAAGGTTAAACATTGCTGGAAGAAAGATAAAGGTCCTATAACTCAAGTCAAAAGCATAAATAAAAATGTAAAAATATAAAAATTAATCAGAACACAGAAAACTGATCATTTACAGATATATATATATATATATATATATATATATATATATATATATATATACATATATATTTTTTTTTACAGCAGATAGACAGAGAGGCAGACAGAATAAATATTAGGGCTGCACAATGTAACGTTTGAGCATCAATATCGTAATGTGCACATCCACAATAGTCACATTGCAGGAAGTGCAATGTTGAGTTTATATATTGGGATTATAGTTTACCAGGAGCCACAAAACACAGAAGATGGAGATGGAGATTTTGAGACACTGAAGAGTTTAACCATAATTGAGTCAAAGTTTACCATTTGCATCTGTTTTTAAGGCCTATGCCTGTATAAGCATTCAGGCACGAGAGTTTATAATATTCGCACACGTGAAATTGTACTGTCTGTAACTCTAATAAAGATGCATTTACAGAATTGTTCAACTTTACTGCGTTATATTACATTTGATTATTCAATTTCTGTATACCGGAATACTGTGAAGTTAAATCTTTTCCTCTTATCTTTACAATAATTCATTCATTTATTTATTTTCTTTTTCGGCTTAGTCCTTTTATTAATCAAGGGTCTCCACAGCGGAATGAACCAACAACTTATCCAGCATATGTTTTGTGCAGCGGATGCCCTTGAAGCCGCAATCAAACACCGGGAAAATGATAACTAAGAGTATCCCAGAAAATGCTCTAAAATGATCCCAATCAGTCTAATTTACTGAATTATTTTTAAACAGAGCTATTCAAGCTATCTGGGGAATTTACTTATACATATCGCAATATAAATCACAGCAAAACAAATGATCGCATATCAAATTTTTTTTACTAAGTATTAATTTCTGTACTTTTGTCACACATATATGCCGCAATCTGTGAACACACGCACACAAGGCTGAGCGATTCCTTTAAACCATCTACTGTCTACTAGTTTCCAGGACGTCCCCTCCTGCCTTTAAACCTGACAATCCGATCTAATCTGCATTGCATTTGATGTGCAGGTCCCCTCAGCTCAGCTCGGCCCGGCACCACGTCTGCACAGGTGAGGCTTATTTTTTAACCCCCTTTCAGTTACGCTGCCATTAAATCAATCAGGCTGCTGCTTGAGTTATTGATTTAGTGGTAATGAAGCCACCCCTTTCTTTCTCTCTCCCTCCCCCACCCTGCGCTCTCTATCTCTCTTTCTCTTTCTGTATCCCTCTTTTTATTTTCCGGTGCAGGAGTCGTTGGCTGCTTTTTGGAGGCTTTAAAAGGAATACGGCCTCTTTAATCTGCCTGCCTTCTCCTGGAGCCTCGGGCAAGCCTGCAGGATGGTCTCTCACTCTCTCTGTCTCTCTTTCTCTCTCTCCACTTCCGCTCTTTTCTCATTCTATCTCTCTCTCTCTCTCTGCGCCAGGCCCTCTGTCCTTCAGTTCTGTTAAATCACTTGGATCCCTTCCATAATAGCAGCTACCTTTCAGATACCCTTTACCCAGCGTGGCCTCACTTCCAGCAGGAGGGGTGGAGGGTGTCACTGTCATATAAAAGTAAGTAATTTACACCCGTGAAATTGCTTTATGGAAAAGTCCTTGCAGTCCACTGGGGTATTATTGTAAAGACAAGCCTTTTATGAATGAGAGAGCAGACATGCAGATCTGCCGAAGCCAAGGCAGGGTTTTTGGCCGGCCAAGTGAATTGGAGCCTCTTTTTTTTTTGCATTCTTTGGATTTAATGGCGAAACTTCCTCCAGCAGAGGAAGTAAATGCGTTGGGCGTTTAGAGAAACGGCGAGAAGTGAAATTACGACTCGTTATTGTCAAAGCATCGTCACAGTTTTGAGGCACTTAGAATAACTGCATAATCCAGAATAACTAAAATCCAGATAAAAACCTCTTTTTTGCTGGTTAACGCTGACCGTTCATAGGCTGAAAAAAGTATTCATTGGATTTACATATTTTTTTTTAAGGTAAGTAGATGCAAACAATTTATATAAACTGAATTTAAACAAACAAATTAAGTTTACGTTAAGTACATTAATACATGTAATTTATTTGTTTAAATTCAGCCCATGTAAATTGTTTGCAACCACTTACATTAAAAAAATTAGTAAATCCAATGAATCATTTTTTTTCAGTCTGGCCAATGCATTGGTTAATAGGTCTACACTACCTAACAAAAGTCTTGTCGTCAATCCCAGTTGTAAGAGCAACAAATTATAACTTGACTTGTAGTTTGGAAAAGTGGCAAAAGGGCAATTTTTCAGATGAATCATCTGTTGAACTGCATCCCAGTCATCTCAAATACTACAGAAGACCTATTGGAACCCACATAGACCCAAGATTCTCACAGAAACCAGTCCAGTTTGGTGAAGGAAAAATCATGGTTTGGGGTTACATTCAGTATGGGGGCGTGCTAGAGATCTGCAGAGTGGATGGCAACGTCAACAGCCTGAGGTATCAAGACATTTGTGCTGCCCATTACATTATAAACCACAGGAGTGTACAAATTCTTCAGCAGGATAGCGCTCCTTGTCATACTTCAGCCTCCACATCAAAGTTCCTGAAAGCAAAAAAGGTCAAGGTGCTCCAGGATTGGCCAGCCCAGTCACCAGACATGAACATTATTGAGCATGTCTCGGGTAAGATGAAGGAGAAGGCATTGACGATGAATTCAAATAATCCTGATGAACTCTGGGAGTCCTGCAAGAACACTTTCTTTGCCATTCCAGATGACTTTATTAATGTTATTTGAGTCATTGCAGAGAAGTATGGATGCAGTCCTCCAACCTCATGGGAGTCATACACAATATTCATTCTTTTTCCACTGCACCATGACTTTATATTCTATGCACACTGAGAAATAAAGGTACAAAATCTGTCACTGGGGTGTACAAAAGTACTTTTAGGGCCCACTTTCATACTTTTAAGATACACTTTTGCACCTTTAAAGTACTATGAGATACACATTTGTACATTTTTAGATATTAATATGTACCTTTAGGGACCTGTCAGGAACAAAAATGTTCCTTTTGTAAAGGTACCGCCCCAGTGACAGATTTTACCTTTACTTCTGAGAGTGTGCTGTACATTATTTCTGTTTGTTAAGTGACAAGACTTTTGTCTAAGCAAAGTCAGACCTTACTGTCCGAATTAATAATTAAAAATCAAGGCATGATCATATTTTATTTGGGTCACATAAGCATAATCTAGAGGCCTTTGCCTTTCATATAAGCCACTTCAGATACCAAATGATCGACTAGAAGTCAAGCAATTATTTGTTGTTCCTAAAACTTAAGCAACAAGGATAGGCGACAAGACTTTTGTCAGGTAGTGTATAGTATAACAAGTCAACAAGACAGGAAAAAAATCTGAATAGTTACAGGTTGTTGACTACTGACTCCACTTCTTTTTTGTGAATTAGGGCCTTTAAAAAAAGAACTTAAATTAGAGCAGGAAGTCTTAAATTCATAACAAGATTCATTTTCATAAGGAATTATTTCCTCATGTTTCATTTTAAAGTGAGACACATTTCCCATTAATTGTATTTTGTTAACATCTACCCCTACCACAACGCTAAACCCAACCCTCACAGTAATGTAAAAGCAGATCTGGATCTGGAGTCTTCTCTATTAGCATAGCTGATTAACCATGTGGATGGATAATTACAGCCTTCTAAGCCTACCAGTACACACAGAAGGCTTCTAATGGCCCATATCAGCTGATAACCACTGATAACGTCCATTCAATCCAGTAAAACATTCGAATCTGTATAATACATCACTTCATGTGCTCTTTCTAGACATAGTTTTCAACATATTGGTTTTTCTGTTTTTCCCTTTTACTTAAATTTTTAGTTGGTCTAAAATGATATTGCAAAATAAGTCTTTAATTTACCCTCATAATACCTGCAGAAACCCTGGCACAAACACCTAATTAACTTTACATCCGATTCATTCAAATGAATTACCGCAGACGTGAACGCATGACATCCACAGATACAGAATAACACACATGGACAGCATTTCATATTTACTCTGAATCCATTATGGAGGAAACCTGAAGAAACATTGTCAACGGTACATGCGATGGGTGTTAGAGCAGGTGTATTTTTCCGCAGCTGTGGAGTCTATCTTCAAGCACAATAAGGAGTGAAGGGAGTTTTTCATTAAAGTCAGTTTGAACTACTCTTCAGAGACCGGCTCTTGTAGTCTGCCTTCAGGCACAGAGCTTCAGTCTCCTGGGGTTTCTCCACACTTCTGTGAGCCATCGTTTCCCACCTCTGTCTCTCTCTCTCCTTTCTCAGCTGGTAAAAGCACACACACACGCAGATCCACATCCACACACTCGCAGAGCATTTATGCGGTGAGTATTATACGTAGTCTTGTAACACAGTGTCTTTTATTAATTTAAGCCGTGTTGGTGCTGTTCTGAAGCTGACACAGGTGAGGTCAGAGCTGTCACAATGCATTTCTGCCCATATAAAACACCTGCTCTCAAATGCTTCATGAGCACTGCTCGGCTTTCTAATTCTCCTTTGTTTCTTTCTGGTTACGGAGCTCACATTAAACTGTTAAACAAAGGGATGCTTCATGTTTGAAAATGTCATAAAAGGAGGTAAAGACAGGCTATGAGAGCAATTTCACCTTAAATGCAGTTTTTTGCAACATTATTTTTTTATTTTATCTTTTTTACTACAAAAAAGGATGTTTTTAGGGGACAATTCGGTCATTATTTACTCTCCCTTTACTTGTTCAAACACCATTTGACTTTATCTGTACTGTTGAACTTAAAAGAAGACACTTTAAAATATGCTTAATGCTAGCATCCATTGACTTCCATAGTATTCCATACTATTGAAGTCAATGGGCCCTATCATACACCCGGCGCAATGTGGCGCAAGGCGCGGTGCAATAGTCTTTTGGTACTTTTAGCTCGGCGCAAGGGTCATTTTGAGGTGTTGCGCCACACTGTTTAAATAGCAAATGCATTTGCGCTCAAATGTGCGCCCAGAGGCGTTCTGGTCTAAAAAAGCAGGCATGTTTTGGCGCGTTGCTATTTTGAGAAACTGTAAATAGTCTATTCGGTCTATTGTCTGGCGCAAAGTGCGCCTGGCTTACACACTACACACAAGATGTAGAGCAGTACGCAAATATCTTTACATATGAAAAAGATATATCTTAAAGATATATATAATAAGGATATATATAGGATATAAATATAAATGATTAAAATATTACAAAACATATTAATTTCTAGCCTACATGAATTTAAAAACCACTGCCTTCATACTTTCTTCATCTCGGGGGGCTTTTTCAGTTCATTCAATTTGCTTTTGTATAATGTTATTATTATTAGCAGTATTGTTTATTATATCCATATTTATATTTGTTTTATTAAAAACAAGCTTAGATTTGTCCACCTGTCTGGTTTTAGACCATATGGGGCATAGAAGGTGTATTTGGAAATAACTCAGGTTTTTGAACACACTTTATTATTATTAATTATTAATCATTTATTCGTTTGCTGGAAATTAGAACTGAATTTAGAAATAGTTTTGAAACAAATATTTGCGCTTAACAAATGAAATTAATTATTTATAGGCTAATTGATGTCTGTGCGTAAAGGTTTCCCTATCCACGGGAGCAAAAGCGAAAGTGAACTTACTTTACGTCATGTTAATAGCAATGCGCTTACGGCGTGATGCAGCTGGCTCTTAAAGGTAATGGGAGATGAGACTCTAATTGGTTTATTCTCAAAACACACCTATAACTCGTTAGGAAAATAACTCAACCCTTTTAGACCATGCGCCACGGCGCAAAGCGGATTTTCCCGTCCTTAAGTTAGCAAAAATGCGTTCTGACACGCCCTGAAAGCGTTTGCGCCCTGCGTTTTGCGCTCTGCGCATGGACCGTCAAAATAGAGCCCAATAAGTCCCAGCAACCAGCCTTCTTCAAAATATCTTGAAAATTTAAAAAAAGTAAGTAACAAAATAGGCTATATTGTCTTTGCTGTATAGCAATTTTACCTTAACTGTAGTTCAAAAACGCCATTTGCTTCACATTATTCATTTCAAGAGTTCCCAGTTAGATATGCTTGGCATTTATAGCAGGTTTGGCATGTTGTCCCGGGAGAGAACCCTGAGCTCGAAGATACTTGAGCCCAAGGCTCCCGCCCAGTTATAAGCATATAAGGGGATCCAAGATCAGGTAGGTCTCGAGAGCTTCCCATTAAAAAAGGGAGGAAAAGGAGGAGATGGGGCGGAAGGGGCATTCTTCCAAAACGAAGGTAGAGCAGTAGGGAGAAATCAATCCATTCATAGTTAGCTTGGATCACTCTGATTGGATTATTACTAATTACAGATAAGAAGCCAGTCGTGCTCAATCATATCACGTGCTCGTCTCGAAATTAGTTTGTGAAACTTCACTTACTTATTTTGTAGTGTGTGTGTTAATCTATTACGATGGTCACCAAACTTGTTTCTGGAGGGCCGGTGTCCTGCAGATTTTAGCTCCAACCCTAATCAAACACACCTGAACAAGCTAATCTAGG